TGCGGGGTGGGTGGGGGGGCCAGTGAGAGCCCAGGCGGCCTCCCACAATCCCGGCGCTAGCAGGGAGGGGCTCGATGGACGAACAGTTTCTGTCCTCCAGGAGCTGCCCATTTGGGAGCCAAGCAGACCCGAGAGCTGTGACACGAGGTGGAGAAAGTGAAATAGATCCACCCGAGCAATCAAGGAGGGCTCCCTACAGGAAGCGGCACATGAGCTGAACCACGGGGGAGAGGAAGCCACCCACAGGGCAGAGTTGCTGGGCAGTAAGGCGGCTGAGCACGGGCAGGGGAGGCCCCGAGCTGTTCTAGGGCACGGCCTGTCCAGGGCAGCAAGCGGCAGGGGAGCGAGGGGCCTGTCTGGAAAAGCCCGGAGAGATGGGGGGTCCCCGCACCCACTCCTCTGGGCCCGGGCCTACGCATGCACATGCACACACGCGCGCGTGAGCACACACATGCACACACTGTGAGCACACGCACGCACATGCACACACACGCGTGAGCACACACACGCAAGAAGGAAAAGCACTTGGTGAGGTGACCGGTTTATTTAGGAAGTTCCCAGAGCTGCCCCGAGAGGCCGCCCTGCAGCCCGCAGGAAGTAGCCACTGCAGAGGGCGCCCACAGGGGCCACACAGGGCGCTGGCCGGGGCAGGGCCGGTGTGTGGCTGCCCGCGGCCTCCTGCAGAGGGAGGGCTCTGAGCCCAAATACAGAGATCCAAGCAGGTTCCAAATCCACACAACCCGTTTCCGAGAGCGAGGCAGGTGGGGTTCCCTGCGGCCACAGGAGTTCAAGGCCAGAGAGCCAGCCTCTGGGAGGAGGGGGAGAACCCAGGCAGCCCAGGGTCCCCCTCTCCTGGCCGGGCTGTCTGCACCTGGCCCCCTCCTGACACGTGCCCCCATGAGACAGCTCGAGGGGGTTTGGCCTCTGAGCTCAATCACCAGCTCCCCCTTCTTCCCCGCCCTCCAGGGAGACTGCGGGACCCTCTGCCCCGAGGGGCCCCACGGCATCTGCAGATGGGACCACGCGGCCGGACAGTGTGCT